ACACACTTTCAAAACAATCCATCATTGATTTCTCATGATACTATATGCACTGGATACTCACTGACAAGACTTAGCTAGATTATAAATTTTAAAAATAGTTCTAAAGAATACCAGCCATTTCTATCTATCCAGTCATAGCCTAAGAATCAGCTACAATAGCTTCTCCTCATGCCTCTATATCTTCCCACCCCTGGTCCTACCTCGAAGCCATTGTTGGTTCTTCTTAATTCTCATTTATGGGCTGCCCTTCAGCAACATCATCTCGAAACAACTCATTGGATTCCACATTTCTGCTTGTAGACACTCGGCCCTGCCTCTGCAGCACCTCTTTCAGCCACTTTGTTGTCTCAGATTTGATACACTGCTTGTCCAATATCCAGTTGCAGAGAAGCAGAAATTTCTTCCACCAAATATTCAGAAGTTCAAAGCTGTTGTCTTCAATTCCAGCCACAAGCTCTGTTTCCTAGCCACCGACTTCTGTCACATTTGACACTGCCATCTCTAACCACAGAACTGCTTGTGCGCTATGACTGTCTGCTTCAACAGAATATTCTCTGCCTCAGCTCATCTGCTGTTGAAACCTTCATCTGTGCCTTAGTTATTTGTAACCGTAACTGTTCTGGTGCTCTAACAGCCAGCCACTTGTGGTAATCTTCCATAAATGTGGGCCCATCCAATTTTATGCTGCTCATAACACATTAGATTCCTTCACCCATCATCGTGATGTTTGCTAATTTACATTAGCTTCCACTTCAGTGATGCCTCAATACTAAAAGCTCATCCTTGCTTTCAATGGCCTCACCTTTGCTAATTCTGCAACGCTGTTCAATCTGAAGACCTGCTAAGGTCTCTATGCTCATACAATTTTGACCCCTTGTGCATCCCTGATTTTAACTACTCTTTAAGTCCATTTTGCAGAATTTTGTCCCCAAACCCATCTGGCTCTTTCTCCTATTTTTTTAATGACGCTTCTTAAAAGCATCTCAGTCATCAAGTTTTTGGTCAGCCTTTCAGTACTTCACTGAGTTAACAGCACCTATAAATGTAAATTGTTGTTGATGTCAAACTGTGTTGAATTATCCATTACTCTGTCCATCTTTTGTGCTTCCTGAGGGTCTAAGTGTATTAGGAGTAGTCAGCTATTCGTAAACTGACAAATACTGATCTGTTCATATTTCTCAGAACTTTTACAGCATGGGATGGACTTTACCAAAGCCAGTGTGTTTACAGTGACTGCTCCATGCTAGTTTGGAGCTGGCAGAGGCTCGCAAGGCTCTGACGATAATCAAACATGTTTTCTTTCTCTTTGCAGCTAACCAGTTCCACGTTTGCATCATTCAGTGTTTCCCCGTCAGCATTCAGACGTTTTCTATTTCTCCAGGTGTGGATTCATGGAAGGACACTGCTCAGGCAGAAATGTGCAATTCCAAACGCTACGGCTTTTGTAGAATTGTTCAATCATAGAATTGTAGTGCACACAAGGAGGCCATTCAGCCCATCCGGTCTGGGTAGATATTTTCTAATTAACCTGTTCAAAGATGTTATTTTGCCCACCTCTGGAGCAGGTGGGACTTGTACCTGGGTTTTCGGGCTTGGCGGTAGGGACAAAAGAGCCCTATCAAGTCTGCAGAAGCTATCTGAAAGAGCTATCCATTAAGTCCACATCCTTGCTCTTTCCTTTTGGCTCTGTAAATGCTTTCTTCTCCAAGGCTATAACAATTTCCATTCTGAAAGTCACAACTGAATCTGTTTCCAAAACCTTACAGGCTATGCATTCTAGATCACAATAATTTGATGCATAAAAATGATCTCAATTCCCCTCTTGGTGTTTTGCAAATAAAACTAAATCTCTGGTCTCCTGCCAGTGGAATGTATTTCCTTATTTTTTCCTATCAGATTCCCTTGCAACCTTGAACACCTCTACTGGGATCTCCCCTAGCCTTACTCTGCTGTAAGGGGAAAAGTCTTATTTTGCCTAGTTTCTCAAGATAAATGAAGCCATTCACTTTAGATATCATTCTTGTAAATGTCTGCAAACTGGACAATCCTTCCTAAAGTTTGGTCCTCAGAAATGCACATAATACTTGAGTTAAAACCTCAGTTGACCAATGTCTTATAAAGATTTACTAGAACTACCTTGTCTTTGTACTTTGTGCTTGTTTTTGTTTCCTAAAGATATGGATCCCGTAAGCTTTGTACCTGCAAATTAGAATTCCAGTTCTTATACAATCACATCTAGTTACAAACAAACCACAGCTGGACAGGAATTTATTTTAGGTGGGTGGTATTAGGTGAAGACACAGCCTGCTGATTGGCCTCCATTTCAGTCAAGTATTTAAGTAAACATTCAAAACTAATAACATACCAGCTCTTATATTTCAGCTCTTCAATCCAATTTGCAAATTCTGAATGGTTGCTCAAGCTACCCAGAAGGTTGTTTACCAGTTACGTGGTTTGGTACATTCCCAATATTGTCCGTGCAAATAAGAAAGATAAGAGTTCATGTGATGAGTAACTGAAATCTTGGACACTGCCTTTCATACTGAAATGCAGAGTGAAATGTTTAACCATGAAAGGTCATTTATGTGTGTGTGTAGTGTATATTGTCTATCTCCCCATGATAAAACTCTTAGGTGGATGGGGTGGTTATCCTACTCCACCAAGGCAGGAAGAAGGCATCCAAGAGGTGATCCAATCTCCATGCCCCTGCAGCCTGAAAGAAAATTTAACTTTGAGGACTTTCCCACTGGTTAAACATGCTAAACTGGGAGTCTTGAGGATATCAGGCGAATTGGGTCATTGGAATACAATTAGTATCTGATTTTAACTGTGAGAAATGAGATTTCCAGCCTGCTGTGGGATTGGTTTCGAGCTAATCAAGTTTGGAGCTAATCAACTTTGGAATTTAAAGAGCCCAGAGGCTGAAAAAACTCAAATCAATGCACTACATTTGATGGTGTCAAAGGGAACTGTGACTTTGAAAATTGTTTATTTTGATTGGTTACTCTCAATAAGCAGCGAAACCTAATGCTCTGTGATCCTCTTGCTGAGCCATATTCAGATAGCAGAGTGCCGGCTGAACATTCAGCAAGCATAATGTCGTTTGCATGTTCAAGGCCTTAACTAGCCACCTGCATTGACAGGCTCAAGGTGACCTTTCCTAAACACGTCTAGTAAGCAGCTATTGAGGAAGCTGTGCTTCTCGAGGTACACTGTTTCTGACCTTTGCATGTAAACCTTCCACTTTGAGGTGTGACTAACCATAACGTTTTATTGGCTGAGAATCATTTCAGGATGCTACTCCACACATCTCCTGTGTCTCACGGTTGAGAGTAGGGAAAAGAAAGACATTGTTATAGTGTCTTCCATGGTCTTAGGATGCTTTAAGTGCTTTACAGCCAATGAAGTACCTTTAAAGTGTAATCAATTTTATAATGTAGGAATTATGGTAGCATATTTGCACACAGGAAGCTCCCACAAATGTAACTGTGATCTGATAACCTATGTATCAATTCAGCTGAATGAGCAATAGTTACTTGCCAAGACAATGAGATGAATCCACTTTGTCTTTGAAGTAGGATCATGTGATATTACACATCAACTTACCCACTTATAAAAGCGGATGGGGTCTTGGTTCAACATCTCATCTGAAAGGCAGCATTCTCTCAGTACTGTGCTGGTCTGTCAGCCCAGATCTCTGTGTCAAAGTTTCTATAGTAGTACTTGAATTTAGAACTTTCTCATTTGGAGGTAAGAGCGGTATCTACCAAGCCAAGGCTGACATCCAGGAAATAGCCACTGCATTACTTGTGGAGCAACCCACACATACAATTGATAACAATGAGCATTGTGATTACTTTGCCAGCAAGTGCAGGGTTTTATTCATGGTGCCATTAGGGTTTCCTAAGATTGGCCAGAAGCATTTGTTAACCACGCCAGGTTCCCATATAGCAATGTCCAGCTTGGTGCGATCACTGTAAATTGGATCCTGCGATTATAAGCAGCTGCTGTAAGACATTTACTTCCCAAGAGATGAAAATCCAAATGTTTTTCCAACCTGCCAGGGATACTCAAGAGGTTTAAATTAATTTCACAGGTAATGGTAACCAGGATAACGAGTAAGGAGAAGAATGGCAAAGACAATTTTTAAAAAATTCATTCACAGGATGAGGACACCTCTGACTAGGTCAGCATTTATTGCCTTTTCCTAATTGCTCAGAGGGCAGTTAAGAGTCAACCACAGTGCTGTGGGTCTGGAGCCACATGTAGGCCGGACCAGTTTCCTTCCCTAACGGACATCAGTGAACCAGATGGGTTTTTCCTGATAATTAACGATGGATTCATGGTCATTGTTAAGACTCTTAATTCCAGTTTTTTTTTCATTGAATTCAAATTTCATCACATGCCGTGGTGGAATTCAAACCAGGATCCCTAGAAAACCTTCAGTTAGCTCTCCATTACCCCCAGGCATTTATTTATCCCTACCATTACCCCCGGCCTACTGTCACCATCCCCAACTGCAGGTTATTACATTAGCCCGGGATCTTCAGTTAGCTCTCCATTACCCCCCCTCCACCAGACATTTACTTATACTCACCATTACACCTGCCCTACTGTCAGCCCGCTCCCCACATATACCCCCCCCCAGGTTATTATGTTATCCCTGGGCCTTCAGTTAGCTCTCCATATCTTCCAAGGGATTTATTTATCCCCACCATTACCCCCTGACTCACTGTCACCCCCAGAATATTATATTAGCCCGCGGCACTCAGTTAGCTCTCCATTGCCCCGCTCCTCTCCGGTCCGAGCTGACGCCGCGACGTCACGACGCAGTGCGTGTCGGTGACGCCATCACGCCCGGCACGCAGGGGCGGTGCAGGTTTCCCCGGAGCTGCTGGCGGTGAGTCTGTGAGAGACGGCAAGGGCCCGGCCCGGTATGGTATTGTTGGGCTTCGGTCACAGCGGGCAGGAGAAGAAAAGGAAAGGCAGTATTTTTTTTTTGGGGAGGCGTGGTGGGACCACGAGAGTAGCGCTGGTTGTGGTTTGTGAAAGCCTGTTCTGACGGTCTGATCCCAGGATGCCCTCCCCCGTGGTTAATATCTTACATTGACCCTGGGTTGTGGTCAGTAAGGGTCCTTGTGGGATTCTCTGTGCCAGCCCCCTACTGCAATTCTCGGCCAGAAATTCAAAGGCGCGCTTTCTCTGCGTGAGCTTCACAGTTTCCCTTTTGTATTCATGCACCTTCTTTTGTGAGGAGGCCTGACATTGCAGTAGTTATCTACCCAGCCTCCCAGAGCAAATCGGTGACTGTGGGAATAGGAGACAACGCAGTGTGGAGCTGGAGGAACACAGCAGGCCAGGAGCAGAGGAGCCGGAAAGTTTCGGGTCCGGACCCTTCTTCCGAAATGGGGAGGGGGAAGGGAGCTCGGAAATAAATAGAGAGGATGCTGCTTGGTCCGCTGTGTTCATCCAGCTCTACACCTTGTTATCTCAGAGAGGAGGGATAGGGCTGGGGTAAAGATCCCGATCCGCAATGTCAACTTTCCTGCTCATCTGATGCTGCCTGGCCTGCTGTGTTCCTCCAACTCCACACTGTTATCTCTGACTCCAGCATCTTCAGTTCTTACTATCTCTAATGTGGGAACAGGAGCTGGCCCACAATTTAAATCATAGATGCTGTAGACCCCAGTTCTATTAATCTGCCTTTGAATCAAACTCAGCTGTGACCATTTCCATTAATCTACTGTCTTCATTATTTTATAAAAGTGAGTTCAGTACCTTTTATCTGAAACCATTCTTCCTGATTTCACTCCTAAACAATCAAATTTTAAAGTTTGTGCTTCTCCTGCTTGGGCTGACATTTAATAGCCATGTGTGAGTGTTGTTATCCATTTCATTCTAAGTTTGACTTGAAAGCTGCAACCTGGAGCATAAATAACTAGGTGATATAATCACAAGGTCTGTCTATTATGCTTTGTGTCATCCTGAATTCTCACTGAAGCAAAATGAGGCTGGACAGAATTTTGCTTTTTAGGAGTGTCAAAAGGAGCTACTTTAGCTCCAAATGAAATTGGGAAATAGTTTGAAGCATCTGTGTTCTGAGTAGTAGATCTCGGTGACCTTACATCAGAATTAGTAAAGATCTTGGACCATTGACTCTTGTTTATCCCCTGCTTATGCTCCCTGGGCTGATGTGTCCAGCTCTTTCTGTTTGGATTTCATGTTTATTTCAGATTTCTAACATCTGCAGTTCTTTACTCTTGTATTTTATATAGTCCATGTTCAGGATTACTACGTGTGATTCAACTGACAGTGAGAAAATATTTATCGCTCAATGTGAAGTGTAGTTAATCTGTTGAAGTGTGCTTGCATAGATAGAAATAGTATTTGACTACACTTGTACTGCTTTCAGATTATATGTGTGGAATGATGTAATAATTGTTTTCATAAACAATGAGTGCACTCTTGTACAAACTATGGCAGCCAGAAAGGAGAGTGGGTAAAGCTTTACTGAGATAACAAGGTGTAGAGCTGGATGAACACAGCAGGGCAAGCAGCATCAGAGGCACAGGAAAGCTGATGTTTCGGGCCTAGACCCTTCTTCAGAAATCTAGTCTGGGCCCGAAACGTCAGCTTTCCTGCACCTCTGATGCTGCTTGGCCTGCTGTATTCATCCAGCTCTACATCTTGTTATCTCAGATTCTCCAGCATCTGCAGTTCCTACTATCTCTGAAAACTTTACTGATGCTGGTTTGGAAATAACTTGGTGATTGCTGAAGGCTTGTTCTTTTGGTTGCACTCAGATCTTTGACTCTGACCTCAGTATGGCACAATCGTGTACTCTGTTGAAAACCTTCATGGTGTGAAACTAGTGATGCATGCTGTGGGAAGGTGTTACTAAACACTAACTTGTGTTAAAACCTAAGTCCTGGGAATCCTCAAGGTTGACTTTGGACCCTATGAAGTCTCATGGCATCAGGTCAGATGTGGGCAAGTGCAAGTCCTGCTGGTAACCAACCGCCTCAGCTATGAATCAGTTCTCCTCCATGTTGAACATTATTTGTAGGACACACTGAAGGTGGTACCTATACAATATACTGTTGAGGGTGGGCTTCAGTATTCATCACCAAGAGTGGCTTGGCAGCACCACTAACAGTGAAACTGGCCTAATCCTACAGGAGATAGCTCTAGACTGGGTCTGCAGCTGGTGGAAGGGAACCAGCTAGGGTGAGAAACACACTTGACTTTATTCTTGCAGTCTATTTGTAGCAGATATCTGTACGTGACAGTTATCAGTAGGAGTGCGCACCACACAGTGAAAATACCCTCCATCATGTTGTGTGACCCTACAATGCTGCGAAATGGGACAAATTTTAAACTGATCTAGCAATTCAAAACTGGCCATCCATGAGGCACTGTTTGCTATCAGCAGCAGCAGAATTGTATTCAATCAAATTTCTAAACTCATGGCCACCTCTTTACTCTCTCTACTCTCTCTACTCTCTCTACTCTCTCTACTCTCTCTA